GCCGTGCGAGCGCGAGCGCGTGTCGACGAATGACATCGCAACAGACATACGCGTCGACACGCACGCATGCAGTCCTCGCGCCTTGGCCGTATGCCCCGTATGGCCGTATCCAACCATTCTCCCTGTACATCCAACAGGATCGCGCCCAGAAGATGACCGCAGATCTGAATCTCCCTCCCGGTGCATCTCTTGGACTCTTGCACGGAGCAAGCAGCCAAGCACCACGCCGTACCACCATCATCATCATGGCTCATGGGATCGTGCAACCAAAGGCGTCACCGCCTGCGGCACGCCGGCCGGGGACCCGACCGCCACCAGCTCCCGCGCCAGCGCGTACCTGAAGGCCATGTTGTGGGGCCTCCACTCCACGCCGCCGCCGCCGCCGCCGCGCGGCCTCCCCTGCTGCCGCACCGCCGCCCGGAGGCCCTCCGGGAGGCACGGCTCCACCACGCGCAGCAGCTCCTGCGCGGCCAGCCCGGCGTCCCGAGCGTACGACTCGAGCACCTTGGGCAGGATCACCCTGCTCCTGCCGCGCCCCGACCCGCGCACGCCCACGTTGCCCCGGATGAACTCCTCCTTGGCCGCCTCCAGCTGCTGGAACACCCGCTTCGGGCTGTACAGCCGCACCTGACCACGATCAACACGAGACGACGCGATCCGTCAGCTCCATGCGCTGTTGCAGACAAGAAATCATGCGCGCACGTACGTACCACTGGATCCGAGTGGCTCCCGGAGGACAGCGCGAAGTGCACCAGAGGCTCCGGCCGGTCGACGGCGAACCCCTGCAGCTCGTCCTTGTCCCTGGGCTTCCATCTCGGGTACAGGAGCAGCCTGAACCACTGCAGAATTTCAAAAGGGAAGCAGAGCTAATCAGAACCATTATTTGCAATGCCAACTAGCAAAAGAAAATGGAGTTTGGGAATTGAGAAGAGGAGGTAGAATTCTGGACCTGTCCGGAAGAGTGTACTCGGCAGCACAAGATCTGGTACTCGATCAACTCTGCGTTCACCCGCTGGCCATTGATGATGTAGGATACCTGTGGTGCAAAAATGTTTGCCAGGTTAAAATTTTGAGATGGCATGAGCAGGTGCTGTTATATCTAAGGAGGTTCCTGTTAGATGTGGGTATGACCTTGGTAAGCAGCATTCTCTTGCTGTTGCTCTGCGGGATCCCGTATTCAACATGAGCCTGAAAAAATAACCATGTTAGGACTAAGAATATGGTCAGATATATGAGTACAGGCTAAGGAACTATAGTTGCATTACATGCATCATCATGGCATTGTGCACATTGATCCAGAAAGCGAGCTTTTCTTCATTCTTCATTCCACCGAGATCAACCGTTTCTAGCAGCTGAACAAGTGATCTGCAGAGTGACAACACGACAGTCAGTCAAATACAAACAGATGTATGGATAATTTGCTCAATATATGGACTGAAACACATCGATATGGCATGAAAAAAAATACTCACTTGTATTTACACAACATGTCTTTCACATCGGCAGACCTCTGAGCCCCCTTGCAGAGAGCAGACACCTCAATTACAGAATCACATTGCTGGCCCAAATCACCTGAACTGAATGAGCTGTCCTGCCATGCCTCGATGAAGCTCTCTTTCCTGCATCTGGGGCTCCATATATCCCCAGTAAATTTGGAAGAGATCCCACTCGCCGATGAAAAGGACGAGCATGGTGAGGGGAAGAAGGAGCGTTGCACGGCGCTAACATCTCTGAGCCTGATGTATATGCCAGCAATGCATTTGATCATGTCCTCGGATATCTTGTTAGGTGTTTGAGGGACATGATCTGCAATCCTGGTACCCAGGATATCTGCTAAGCTCACAACACTGGTATCCATGCACTTGCCCTCCTGCATCATAAAAGCGATGTTTAGTATCAACATTGCTACAAGATCATATAAGCTGGTTACACATGACGAGAGTTTTCAGGCATTGTTATGTACCTCAACGAACGTTAGAGGCGAGGTATGACATGGTTTAAGAGCTCTAGCGAGATTGTTCGCTGAAGGAGATACTCTAGCCGAGCAGATGGAACACGGCAGGAGCGAGGAATGGCTGCGCCCGATAATGGTCTTGCTGTCATTGTGCCGTGAAATGCCGGGTTCAGTATTAAGCGCTGCCGTTGTCGACCTGCGTGCCTGAACCATGCGGCTGGACTGCACCAACTGTTGCTTCTTTGGGGTTGAGAAATCGTGCGCCGAAGTTTCAGAGAGTGTGCCGGAAAACGACCTTGTCGATTGCCTGTTTCTTCTCTCCATGTCACAAGCAGAAACCGTGCTGCACAATTGTTGGTCAAAGGCCTGCCGGTAGAGCGTCAGGAGATGCTGCTCCAAGCATATGACTTCTAGCTCCAGTACCGCAATCTCCTTTATGAGCTTCTCGGCTGGCTGGCATGACATGAAAGATAGTTTTTTCGAATCAAGAATTCAAACATACTGCCCTCCAAAAAGAGGTGCATACAACATTAACTCTGAACTTTCTGATTCTTCCGGCATCACTATATCAGGAAAAAAAATACCTTTGGAATGTAGCAGTCTCTCGATAAATTGATAGCACAGGGCTTGTGACCTAATGCTTTCTCTAGAGCGCGCCGCATGGCAAATTGATCATTTAGTCGCTTCTCAAGGTGCTGGACCTGCAGGAGTAGCATCATCATGAGTTTCTGAACCGAATTGAAGTACAACCATATATGTCAACAAACATACAGTCCAACTGATTCTCTGGTCCTATACTGTACTGGGATAACGAGCTTGTGTGCACCTTAAATTTCTCAAATTTGGAATTCATTTTTTACTCGCCGCAACTGAGTAATTTTTTTCATGTAATATTGTCTACCAAGTATGGACACAAGTGATGAACAAGAACTGAATCTCAAAATTTGTATAATTGACATTTTCCTACAGAAATTCGTATAATTGGCCAAATTAGCCCATGGATATGGCATTTAAGAGAAGAGGGACAAGTCAGAATCACGAGCAACTAAGAAACAATCAAGCAAGTCGAAAGCAATTAATAAGAGAGGTCCGGCATGGGCCATATGCCATGGAAATGCAGTAGTAGTGAGCCAAAATGGGATTTTTGTTGATTTCAATCATTTACCTCTTGTACCAAAGAGCATGGAATCTCAGTGCTGTGTGACTGCCTTTTACTGGTGCTCTTATGGTCCTTCGGTTCCCCATCATTCTTGCAAAAAAGGAAAGAAAAAAACACACAGAAAATGGTGAGGCAGGGAGAAGTATGAGATATTTGCAGTAAAAAACATGTACGCCGAGCTCAAGGTATCTACTCCCTCCGTTCTGAATTACTTGTCTTGGATTTGTCTAGATACAGAGGTATCTAGCACTAAAATGAGTCTAGATACATCCGTATCTAGACAAATCCAAGACAAGTAATTCGGAACGGAGGGAGTAGCAAATACAGTACCAAGACGGTCCTGATCCTTGACAGAACAAAGTGGCTCAGAGATGGAGAAATTGTACAGGAAGGAAAAATGATAGATAGAGAAAAATATCCCAGGATTAGCTGCTGCCACGATTTGACAGGGAAACTGACTCTGCGTATGCACATTAATAAGAGGAAAAACAATGGCGCAAGAATTAAGGGCGCATTTCATCTCTGGATACCTGTTGATGCTGAGCATAGCACCTCGGAGAGGGCGAATCCACGCTCTCCATTCTGAGCATTATTAATTCTCCTAGAACAAAACCAGCGCTGATGCGAGTTCGGCAACGGGTGCTTCTTCTACCTAAGAAATGCAGAATCATATCATCCAGAATCCAACACAGGGTGCTGTAAAGAAACCGCAAGCATGTTTCAGACGCATAATGCCACATGGTGCGAACCTCTTGGAGCAGCTGCGACTCATTGCTGAGCCACTCCACTGCAGCAGGCCGGCGCAGCCGAGCTCAAGAACGGCTCCTCTCCTCCGGCCTGATCTCGCAGGCGAACCCAGCCAAGCTAAAACCTGAAAGAAATCTGCAGCCACATCACACACAGGCCAGAAACCCACAGGAAAGAGAGGGGGGTAATGAGGGACGCTCTCCTATAATGGAGAGGAAGAGGAATCTCACCTGACGCAAAAATCGTCCACAAGGAGGCGGGGTTTCTCGGAGTTGTTGCCGAGGAGCTGATCACCTAACCGACGGAACCACCGGGCCGGGCTGCCTTGTGAATGTCCACCTTCCCTTGTCCCGGAGCTGCTTCTGCTTCTCTCGGTGGCCGCGTGCGTGCGTGGAGCGTGAGGGCGACGGATGAACTTGAGGGAGGTGCGGTGAGGGCAAGTGCTACCGGAGGGAGAGGGTACTGCTGCCTATGGGAAATCGTACGCCTATTCCGATCGACGATCGGTCGGTCCTCTGCCCTGTCCGGCTGTTCCGATGCTTTGTTTATGGTGGCGACGTATGTTTATGCCTGGCCAAAAACTTACCAACCTCGCTCCTTTTCTATGCAAAGTTTTTATTATCATTATTATTACTCTCTTCTATCCAGATCTGGAAACTCTTTTCTTCTTTATTTATCCCCACATGCTATGTTGCTCCGAGTGCAAGGCTGCTTGCCTTTTTACTCTCTTGTTACGTCAGGTGTTCAGATCAAATGCTGATGGGTTAACTGAGTCCTTCCTACCACCTTAATCGGACGCACCTTCCATGCCTTAAAGGCACCTGCCTTTGGGTCATTGACATGTGGACCAACCACCTGTTGGACCCATATGTCATAGACACAAAGATAGATGCCTTAAGGCACCGAAGCATCTCCACCTTAATCATGTGCCACCTAGCTTGGGTTATCTAATAGTAACTCAAGGAGTTTTGCTCTCGGTGAAAAGGAGGATACGGTTGCATTTTCGCACGCATTATGCAGGTTTTGCCTGAAGGGTGGTAATGATGAGCTGATATGGCAGGGGAGGTAAAAAACAGCGCTGCAAGTCAGCATGCAGGCAGGCACAGTAACATGCATGGCTCCGTTCTTTGACCTGCCTGTGAATGTGAAGACTCTGCTACGCTACGCTGCTCGCTGCCGAGGCAATTGATGGAAGTCGTCCTGTGTGTCTACGCACCGGACACGAGCGAGCAGGGGGCGTGGACGGTGGAGATCGCAGAGAGGGAGGGAGGGAGGGAGGGAGTCCAAAACCCCGGAGAAAGCGGCCAAGGAAATGGGCAGGCACAGGCACACGTCCACTGTTGACTGCGGTGAATCTGTCCTCTTTTCACCTCGAAACAGGCGCTCCTTTGCCCTCATGCGCTACCTCCGCTGCTGCGGCTTGACCTCCGTGAGAAACAACTTTGGCAGGTCATGTGACACGCTCACCACATGTGCTACTGTATCTTACTACTCGCTGACACCAGTAGTACCCCGCGGTCAGGCTCACAAGATATCCACAGCGACCGGGACCGTGTCCCGCTAGACCTATCCTACGTGCACACGCAAAAATAGTTGGTTCAACTCCAATGTAGTTTTTACCACTCTCTGTTCACAAATATAAGATGTTTTTTTTTACATCCAGCAAATTGTTGGCTTCAATTAAATTTAACAGAAAGCAGCGGAAGAACAACATCTTCCCCCTCCCCCGGTTCGCTCGCTCGCCACCCCTGGGCGACGGGCGAACCCCTCCCCTCTCCTCAAGTCCGTCTCCCCTGCCACCATCATCGGAGTGGACCGTCAGGCCTTGCCCGCGCGGTGCTGGTGGTGGCGGACCGGTCTTTCCTGATCGCGTGGAAGGGGGCGAGTGGTCTCCTGATGGCGGCAGTGCGGCTCGCGGCGAGGATCCCGCGAGCCTCGGGTGCCCTCAGTGCGGTGGTGCGATTGTTGGTCGTGGGGCGGCGTGGTGGTGCGGGTTCAGCGGCGCCCGCTCGGCCCATATCTAGGCCCCTTTGGGCCCTATATGGGTTGGGGCGGGTTGCTGGTCTTTGCACGGCGGCTCAGCTCCCTGGAGGTGGAGGTGGTGCGTCAGTGGCTCCGGGTGGCGGCTCCGGACGATGATGACAAGTGTAGTTTTGTTATGCAGTCAATAGTGTTGTTGTTTCTCTTTTTTCTTTCATCTTCGGATCCTCCCCATGTCGTTCTGACGATAAGAGGTTTCCCTGTTTTATATTATAAAGCAATCGCATCATACAACAAGCATGCAGCCCAACCCCAAAGAAGTGCGACGCACGTCGTCATCATCGTCCGATTCCATTACACACGGAGTGAAATGAATGAATCAACACTAAAACGCGCTTATATAGTACTCCCTCCGTCTCATGTCATTAGTGTAAAAAAACGCTCTTATATTACATTTCCGATTTAGAAAAGAAAAGTTTAGAAGATATTGCTGCACGTACATTGATGGTCTAACTCCATATGTGAGCGCTTACGTTACATGGATGCATACACTTGGTTGGATCGTGTCAATTGTCCCAGAGCTGGGAGTAAATTGCACAGAAGTACCATAATTGGGGCATTGGAAGCAGATTGGTACCAAGTTTGGTAATTTTTACATGTCAGTACCAAGTCTGGGGCTATACGTTACAAAAAGGTCAAAATCGCGTATAAGCGCGTATTGACAGTGTATCTGACCGGCGGGGCCCGCCTCTCAGCTGCCGACGTGGCATTTTTTTTGCA